ATAACCTCTGCCAATTTTTTTTTAATATATTCATATACACAATCTAACATGTTGAGATATTGGTTCCTCCTATTTAAGAAATAAAGTGAGATTTCTATTAAAATATAATCGAATATGATTAAGTTATAAATAATTGCAATTGATTAAATTTATATCTTTATTTTTTCTTCAAGGCATACTTACTCTATTTTATTTAAAATAAATAGTACAATATAGGCCGGCCCGTAGGCTTATAGGCTCGACCTTTTGAAAGTGGACCTACGGCCTCTTTATTAAACAGGCTTTTTAAGGCCCGAGCCCGGCCTATTATACAAAATATACTAGGTCAGGTCTAGCCTGATGTAGGCCGAGCCGTAGGCCCCTGTAGGCCGGCCCGCCCCAGTTTCACCCCTACGCACCATATAGCTGATTATATGATGATTCATGATCAGATTTCTGACTAGGTTTTGAACTTAGTCTCATGAGAATATTCTGGGATGTTGTTGGCAATTTTTGAAATGCAACTACTCCACTTATTCTCTCCCCAAGGGCGCCACTTTTGATCAGATTTTTGGGAGAAAAATCTGATTTGTTTTTGAAACTTAAAAGGCTCCTCTTGTGTACTTAATGAGTGGTTAGTTCCTCCTTAGGTGTGTGTGAAAAGCCAAGCCTTTCTCTACTCATCTATGCGCCCCCCATGTGAGGTTTTCTCTTAGAACACTTCACTCTTCTAAACACTTTTACCTAGCCTCCTGCATCACACACTGAGCGCATAGCAAGCCTTATTGTGGTGATCAATCGGCGGCCTTACTGGAAGGAGTTCCTGTATCTAGACGCGGGTGGTGTGGATCAACGTTAGAGGGTCTGAACCCTTCAGACCTACCTTGATCATCTTGAGTTTTCACGAACAAGGTATGACATACGTCTTAAAGTATGTATCTTGATATGCATGTGTGTTCCGCTTGCGAAAAATTTTGTTTTTCCCTCACGCATGTTTCGGCCTTCAAGGCCAATTCTACTTTCAACGGGGACATCAAACACCAAGTGCTTGTGAAGCTCCAATTAGCTGTTCTGCCACATTTCATTATAATGCTTTGGTTACATTTCAAGTTTATTAAACAGGCCAGCTTACAGGTCAAAAGGCCAGGTTTTTTATATTTAGCCTACGGCCTTGTTTTAAAACAGGCTTACATACAAGCCTTTATCTGTTTTAATTATCTCAAAGGTCGGGTCGGGTTAGGCTTTTCATAGGCCAAACTGTAGGTCCCTGTAGACCGGCCTAACCCATTAACACCCCTGGTGGCATCCATCGCAACACATACTTTCCACTTCATTCACCTGAATTTGTGAATGAATCATAACCATTTCAGAAAATCTTAACTCAGATACAAATTAACTTTAAAAACCCAGAGCGTGTGTTGTTTAGAAACCTTCCTTGTTCATTCTCCAAAACTCTCATCAATGACTGACCCAATGCTCGCCGCTAAACCGCCGGTGGCGGTGGCTCTCTTTCTTCACCACCTAGTCGAACAAGGGTGACATTTTTTGTTGAGTCTGATCTCATAAACCCACTTTAGAAAAAAAACAAAAAAAAAACCTTTTTTTGTTGCAAATTCCAACAAACTACGTCTCTCTAATTTTTTTTTCATGTTTAGGTTTTCTTCTCCTAGCGCAAACCTCTTGATAGTGAAAAATATCTGAAAGGAAAAACAAAAGACTACGACTTTGATCTCATTGTCAGGAAACAAAATGAAAAAGAGAAACGATAATGGTGACAGATGCATGGAGGAAGAAAGCAGAGCAAGAAGTCTCTAACACAGGGCATTATTGTCTCAAAAATAATGTCAAATTTTTTCAATACTCGGAATATCAAGAATACCACGCTGCATGGTATTTTTATTTATATTTTGCTCACAAACAAAAATTCCAGAAAAATCACATTCTTGAAATTTTTTTTTCAAGAATCTTATATTAAATGTGAGTAAATAAGATTATAACCCTTATTTTTTCAGAAATCTCAAAAAAAATCTCTACCAAATACCCCTAAAAGCAGCCCCCACTGAAATAAAATAGCAAATGAGAGAAGATTCAACTGAGAAACCCAAAATCTAAATTTCAGCTTAAATAAAATTTTTTAAATTTCTACTGCTTATGAACTTTTTAATTCATTAATACTAATCATTTCATAAATTAACAAAAAAAAAAATACTTTCTCCATTTTTACATATCTTTCATTTTAGAAACTGAAATATTTTTATTTTATTTTATCTATTATTTAAAAAACAAAGTATCTAGGATAATTTTCGTAAATGTATAATATATAATTAAACATAGAAAAAAGATGTGTCGTTTTAAAAAACACACCTTATATTATTGCACTATGGATCTCACAATTTTACTTTATTTTTGTCTTTATTTTTTTAAAATAGGTCTTATTTCTTTGTGAGAATAAAAGACACAAGATATTTCCTTAAAATAACACGCTTTTCCCTTAAACATAATTTGAAAAAGAAATAAACAAAAGAAGAGACAATTGCAAGGAATAGTCACCAAAATGTCACTTTTTGACAAAAACTTTATCCAAATGACACGCGAGCAGTATTTTTTACCAGACTGCCACGTGTTATAATTCGCTATGACTGGTAGCGAATTACGTTCGTCAATGATTTTGTGACATGTGACATACTTTCACAGAAAAAAGTTGATCTGTCATAATTCGCTACCAGTGGTAGTGAATTTGGTCTGCAATATGACAACGTGTTATAAAATAATTGTCCACGAAATTTGTTACCATTGGCAGCGAATTATGACACATGGCAGTATGATAAAAATACTATTTTGTGATAGTTGGATAAATTTTTTTGACAAAAAGTGACATTTTGGTCAATGTTTTCAATTGCATATTAATTAGCTTGGTCAAAATCCCAAAAGTAAACCAAAAATAAAAAAAAGTCACGTCTCAGCATATGGATCTGTGGGGCTTATTATCCATACAGGAAAAACATTTGATATGGATTGAAATAATCATAAGAATGAGGATAATTTAAAAGTATTATTTTATTTTTTTTGAGGATAAAAAAATAATTGTCCCAAAAATAATGTCAAAATTTTCAATACTCGGAATATCAACAATACCACACTGGATGATATTTTCGTTTATATTTTGCTCACAAACTAAAATTCTAAAAAAATCACATTCTCATAATTTTTTTTTCAAGAATCTTATATCAAATGTGGATAAATAAAATTATAACCTTCACTTTTTTGGAAATTTAAAAAAACATCTCTACCAAATACCCCTAAAAGCAGCCCCCACTGAAATAAAATGGCAAACGAGAGAAGATTCAACTGAGAAATCCAAAAACTAAATTTCAGCTTAAATAAAAAAAAATTAAATTTCTAGTGGTTATGAACTTTTTAATTCATTAACACTAATCATTTCATAAATTAACAAAAAAAAAAAAAAAATACTTTCTCCGTTTTTACATATCTTTCATTTTAGAAACTGAAATATTTTTATTCTATTTTATCTATTATTTAAAAACAAAGTATTAAGGATAATTTTCATAAATGTATAATATAATTAAACATAGAAAAAAAGATATGTCATTTTAAAGAACACACCTTATATCATTGCGCTATGGATCTCACAATTTTACTTTATTTTTGTCTTTATTTTTTTTAAATAAAACTTATTTCTTTGTGAGAATAAAAGACACAAGATATTTTCTTAAAAAGACACACTTTTTTTAAACATAATTTGAAAAAGAAATAAACAAAAGAAGAGACAATTGCAAATTAATTAGCTTGGTCAAAATCCCAAAAGTAAACCAAATATAAAAAGTCACGTCTCAGCATATGTATTTGTGGGGCTTATTATCGATAAAGGAAAAACATTTGATATGGATTGAAATAAGTATTTTATTAATTTCATGTTAAAGAAGATAAGTTATCTCATGTAATAGAGACAAACTTATGGGCTCCACCACATAAAAAAAGAAAAAAAAAAGTGACACAATTATCGAAGGATGTGTAGAAGAAAAAACTTATCTCATGTAACATGAAAACACTTTTTCCCTTGAAATAATCATAAGAATGAGGATAATTTAAAAGTATTATTTTATTTTATTTTTATAAAAAAATATTACTTTTTAATATATTTAGTATGATAAGTTATATTAACAATTTTTTTCTTAACAAAACTAAATCTGACCAATCATACACTCTTGATTGAAATTTAACCAGTCAGACTTAGTGTAATTTGTAAATTTGTACTAAAAAAGTTTGTCAATATTATCTCTCTCTATTTAGTAAAGGAAATATTATTCTGATGTTACATGGAAATAATTTTCTCATGCTATAGAAAGAATCTGAGCCATTATTAAAAAGCAAAAAAAAGGAAAAGAGAAAATGCATTTTTGAAGTAAGAGAATCTAAGATGGGGAAAGATATTAGGACAACCAAGTTGTGTTACTACCAAGTGATTACCAATCAATCTAACTGTTAGATCGATTATGTTGATCTAACGATTATATTTATTTTCATCTTTGTATGGTCATGATTCCCCAAATTTAAAGTGAAAGCATTAAATATGAGAAATCATAACCATACAAAGGTGAAAATAAATATATAATATTAAATTTGGAAAATCATGACTAAACAAATATGGAAATAAATATAACCGTTGGATCAATATAATTGATCTAACGATAAGATTGATTGGTAGTCACTTGGTAGTAACACAACTTGGTTGTCACAATATCTTTCTCCATCTAAGATAACTATATTATATAAAATGAGAGTAGTATTTTCCATTTAGTAAATCATATATTTATTGGGAATATTTTCCGTATATGTGTGCTGAGTTTTCAGACATGCACAGCAGAGTTGATTGGTAGGTAAAACAAGATACACATTTACGTGTCCTTTTATACTGGTAGTTTTGAAACCGCTTCCTCTCTTCTTCAGTCACTATTTATTTATTTATTTATTCTTTTGAGACGAAAAAACAAAGATGTGATTCTCATTTTTGTTTTTTGTTTTAATTTTTTTCCTGCATCGTCATCTTCTCTTTGTGTTTCAGCGAAGGATCTCCACTGTGCTCTATTTCCTTCCACGTTAATCAGAGGTTCGGTTTCGCATTTCTCTTCGATCAATTGCTCTCTCAACTACCTTTCGTCTTTTATTTTATTTTATTTTAATTTATTTTTTTAATGTTTAATTTCAATCAGTTTGAAATGATCAATGGACGAGAGAGGAGTGACGAAGTTACCTCTCCGGATCCGTTAGATTCGTTCCCTCCGTTGCGGGTTCGTCAATCGGACGGCGACGACGACTCCGAATTCGAGCGATATTGCAGCGCCAACTCGGTGATGGGGACCCCAAACACCAGCATGAGCATGTGCAGCGCCATAACCGTTTTCCACGATTTCTCCGAAACCGATTTCGGTTCCGTTTCCGTTAGGTCTTTTGAAGACTTCGATAACCGCTTGGACGATTTCGGTTTACGAAATCGGCGGAACTTGAGCTACGGTTCCAGTGGATTGGAGTTGTACGGTGATTGCAGTGACGAACTCGCCATGACTGTGCTTGATTCGTCGGAGCTAATCGGGAATGGGAATCGCGAGGTTGCGGAAAGAGAGATGGAGAGGGAAGAAGAAGAAGAAGAAGAAGAAGAAGAAGGTGACTCTTCTGAGGGTGAGCATTCGACGTACAACTATGACAGTGGAAATGAGTCCTATTTATCAAGGAGTGTGCGTTATCATCATCAGGAACCAGAGGTGCGAAACGAGATTCCCTTGTTAATGAACTCTTCTGTGGCCTTTGGTTCGCAAGATTTGGATGATTTTTTGCTGCAAAACGGTCCCGTTTCTCTCGTGTCTGATATATTTCACAATCAGCAAGAAAAGAGTTCTCAAGTTGAAGAGGATCCAGTAACTTTTGGTCGAAAAGAGGAAGGAATAGATAAGAAGGAAATGGTCACAGCCAATGAAGAAGTTGAAGAAACAAAAGATATTGGTGATCCAGAAGCTATACAAGAGGCTGATTTGTTGACTAACGTAACAGAAAGTTCTACTCAGGCCTCAATTGATTGTCCTAACAGTGTCAAACCACAGGTTCAAGGTACCGAGGAATTAGTTACCTGTCTCGAAACTTCCATATCTGGGGTACATGAAGTAGATTTGGATCCGTTGGCAGAAGAAGCTCCTCAGCATATGGGTTTGAATGTTACTGATGGTGGAAGCATGGAAAATAGGAATCAATATAACAGTGAAGAAGCTCCTGCTACTAGTGATGCTCAACATGTAAACCCGGAGCTAGATGATTCTAATTTTGAGTTTGATCACTTTTGTGATAACAGAGTTGATCAAAATTCTTCCAATCCTTCAAACCATCTAGCGAATACAAATGTAAAACCATTTGAGAACCATGAAGAAATTGTACCGCTTTCAAATTGTGGAATGAGGAAAACGTTAGGGAGCTCTTCCACTTCAACGAATCTCTTGGAACAAAATCCTGTTACATCTAAGGTGAGAGATGAGTCCCGCTGTCTTTCAAGTTATCATTTTCAGCCCTCTTCAGTTATTATATTTGCTACAACAATTTATTTATTTATTTTAATATGTAAACCCAAGGTTTTAAGTTGCAGTTGCTGTCGCAGTTGAGTTAGACCAGCATTAGGTGATTCGGTCCATGATTTTAAACCTTGTGTTCAAACTTGATATTAATAAAACATGCACAATTTTGGCTGGGTATTGAAATTATTTATTCTTGAGCTAATTCAATAAAGTATATTCAATTGAAACAAGAGACTGGTTGAATGACTCAATTATCCTTTTCATTTTCTTGTTTTTACTGTCGAGAAAGGCTGTTTTTGTTTCCTGCCCCATAAAAAAAGATGATGATAAATGCTGTCATAGACTTATGGTTTGAAGCAACTCATTTTGGCTGCATATTTACTTAAGTTGACATTGTGGCTATAGTCATTCTATGCTGGGTTTAATGTTTCACTAAATATTGCAGATGGAGGACTTTGAGCTAAATGAATTCTATGACGAGGTTGTTCAGGAAATGGAAGAAATTTTACTGGACTCTATGGATTCTCTTGGGGCTAGGCTTGCCATGGGTAACAGATTGCTTGAACCGCAATTGTCTATGCCTTTAAGAGATGGTGGGTTGACTGCTTCTACTTCTAGTACAGATGATACTTACCTGCTAGTTCAGCGCCCAACAAGAGTTGATAGGATTGAAGTGGTAGGCGCAAGGCAGAAGAAAGGGGATGTTTCTTTCAGTGAAAGATTGGTTGGGGTGAAGGAATACACTGTGTATAAAATAAAAGTGTGGAGCGGCAAGGATCAGTGGGAGGTTGAAAGGCGATATCGTGATTTCCTCACTCTCTATCGTTGCATGAAAACTTTATTCAATGAGCAAGGCTGGATTTTACCTTTGCCTTGGTCTTCTGTTGAAAAGGAATCCAAGATATTTAGAAGTGCATCTCTTGATATTATTGTGAAGAGAAGTGTTCTCATTCAAGAGTGTTTACAGTCTATTCTCTCTACTAGGCTCTTTTCAAGTCCTCCAAGAGCATTGATTTGGTTTTTGTTCCCTCAAGATTCATATCCTATTTCACCGGTGTCAAATGCAATAGTGTCTCAGTCTTCTTTTACAAGAGGGGGAAACATTCGAAACTTTTCCACTTTAGGGAAGACCATATCACTTATAGTTGAAATTCCGCCTAACAAATCTATGAAACAGTTGTTAGAAGCACAACATCATACCTGTGCTGGATGCCATAAGCATTTTGATGATGGAAAAACTTTGATTTGGGATTTTGTACAGACATTTGGATGGGGGAAGCATCGACTTTGTGAATATACTGGTCAACTGTTCTGCTCTTCTTGCCATACAAATGAGACTGCAGTCTTGCCAGCAAGGGTTTTGCATAATTGGGATTTCACTCATTATCCTGTTTCTCAGCTGGCAAAGTCTTATCTGGATTCTATACATGAACAAGTAATTTCAAAAATAACATTTGTCTTTTATAATATTGTTTTCACCTTATAATCTTTCGTATGTATGTTTTTGTCCATAATTTCTATCCACAAGCTATCTAGAAAGAGATGCTGTTTCTATCTCTTCTCTTTGTTGATTGCAAAAAGCAAGAGTTTGCCATCTTTATTCCTGTAGGGGGGATAATTATATATGCGGATATAGTGATTGCTAGTTTGAAAGAATTCTGTTTATTTGCAATTATAATGAGGATTTGGCACACAGATTGTAACGTGATTCAAAATAACTACACTAATGCATATTGATGCGTGGTAAGATGTAATTGGCTTATTCCATGTTCATATTATACTGCATGGCTTTTCTTGGTTAGTTTTGTAGCTTAATTGTCCTTGTTATATCCCTCTTCAGTGTTTAGCTTCCGTTCACTTCACATTTTTATTAATGTCATTTCTCCTGCAGCCCATGCTTTGTGTTACTGCAGTTAATCCCTTCCTTTTATCAAAGGTCCCAGCCTTGCTTCATGTTATGAGTGTCAGAAAAAAGATAGGAACAATGCTTCAATATGTTCGCTGCCCGTTTCGGAGGTCTCTCAACAGAGGACTTGGAAACCGGAGATATCTTCTTGAAAGCAATGACTTTTTTGCTCTTAGGGACTTGATTGATCTTTCCAAGGGAGTCTTTGCCGGTTAGCTTCTATTTCTGGCTTACTACTTCTTTCTTTTCTTAAAAAAAGGATTTGAATATATGTGGATTTTGTGGTGTGGCTGAATATAGATTCTTATCATTATGGAGAATAATTGTGGCTGCTTGATATAATTTTTTTGAACTGGTCTGATGAATCTCTCTCTCTCTCTCTTCCCTATGGTACCTAGTCATTACCAATTCTTGAAATAACTGTTCGAACAGGTAGCTTGGAGAGCATATTGTTTCTCAACCATGTGAGGTAAACAGCAACAATTAGCATCCTAAAATTATTGCTCATAAGACCTTTAGGGATGCTGCTACTATTGGTTTTTTGACTATTTGTACAGCCCTGGATAGACCTACATCCCAAAATATGGGATTTCCAGGTGTTAGTCTGCATCAAAAATTCAAAACTGGTATCCAATTCATACTATGGAGTCAGCTTATTGTTTGGAAGTGGGCATCATGATTTATAATTACATGGCCTTTATAGTAGCTTCATGCATATTGCCTTGTCTGTTTCTTTGCAGTTTCATTTCTCTCTTATTGTTTCATGAGAACATAGAACTGTGCTATTGATTATTTACTTTGGAGCTAATCGCTGGTTAATTTTGAAATATCTAGTATTTCTGATTTATAGCAACTGTTATACAGCACTTCCTGTGATGGTGGAGACTGTGTCAAGGAAAATCTTGGAACACATTACTGATCAATGCCTCATATGTTGTGATGTGGGACTCCCCTGCAGTGCCCGACAAGATTGTAGTGACCCATCTTCTCTCATTTTCCCATTTCAGGTTTGTATTTGTCAGTAGTTAAGATTCTATAGAATAGAATTAATTAAGGAAAAAATAAATATATCAATTAGAAAGATAACTATTTCATACAATTTTAATCAGGTTCCCAAGGTGCACTGTAGAAATAAAGTGTAGGGTAGATAACTTACGAAGAAAAAGATTGGATTTAGATTTGGCAAAGTATACCTGCATAAAGGAGGTTTATAGACCTCGCAATCATTTTGTTCATTAATTTTTCTGAAAAGTGGGAGAGAAAAATGAATGGTAATGATTATGAGTCCATGAGATATCTGTATACAACTTTTCTTGACATATAACAATCTGTTTAGATGGACCCTTTTTATTTCTTTCTTTACCTCTCCCTTTTCTTTTTCTCTTTATTTATTTTCTTCTTATTTCTTTATTTCATTTTTTTTTTACTTTCTTTTTTTCTTTTCTTTTTTCTCTTATGTATTTTTCTCTTATTTATCTTTATTTTTTTTCTTTTTAATTGTTTATTGCTATTTGTTAATTTCTAGTGTTATTTATAATTTTTATTTATCCTTTTTTTGTTTTTTTTTCCCTCAATCTTTTCGTACTTTTCATTTTGGTTTATCTTTATTTATCCTTTTTTTTGTTTTTTTTTCCTTTAATCTTTTCGTACTTTTCATTTTGGTTTATCTGCCATCAATCCCAAATAGTCTGGGATACTGGTGTTGTTGATGTTGATATTTACAAAGCAACTTACATAGAATTTATTTGGTGCATGGTACAGTTTATGTGTACTTTTGAGAATCTAAATTGAATTCTGATGGACTCAACTTTAAATTGTTTAGAGAATCCTGGCTTACATTTATGTGTCCACTTTTAACTTCTAATCCTTTTTCCTGCCACTTTATATATGAACCCCGACAGGGTTTCGATTTGACACACTTCACAAATTTAATGAACTGTTAGGAGTCCGACTTTGTGGCTGAAATGGGTGTGAGTTCCACTGCACCTTGTAACATCCCCGTCTGGAGCCGGTTCAATTAATATACACATGATATAAACAGAAACAGCGGAAGACTTAACTTACGAAAATATGAGCTAACTTTTTCTTTTTCTAACTTATTTCTTACTCGGCGTAAACGAAAATCGGGCAGAGTTTCCTCTATAAATCGGACAACTGGGGATTTTCCAATCCCTCTCAGAAGCATTTCCTGATAAACAGTTTATACAACATATCAATTCAGAAATACCAGGTATCCAATATAATCAAATACCCATACATGGACGCATGCATAACATGGCTCCGTGCCACTATATCTAACAGCATGCCATCAAAACGTAAACCTATCTGAATACTACATCATCATATAACGTGCCTGAATACTCAAATGTACATGCATCAAACTGACAGATATGTACAAAACATATACAGGCCATATACAAAATAAAGGATCTACATCATGATCCACAAAATACTGAAATACTAAATGAAAGCACTATACTCCAAAATAGAAGTAGCCTACAGCTACTCAAAATCCAATACGTCCAAAATCCTCAGCCACGGGTAGTGTTCCTGACTCGAGAGGTCTCACCGGGGATCTGGGCACCTGAAAATATGGCCCCAACGAGGGGTGAGATTACAAATCTCAATAAGCTCCAGGTTTATAGAGAATTCTCCATACCCCTGGCTCACTCCTGCATGAAAGTCAGATACAGAGTATACAAATACAACATATAACAGATATCATAACAGAACAAATCATATATTCATATCATAACAGAGGCGTGCGCCGTCATTCCCAAGGGAGGACCCCAAGCGGAAATAAACGCACGTGTTCCTGAGGGAGGACCCCAAAGCGGAACCAGACATATCAGAGGCGTACCCTTTAGTCCCGAGGGAGGACCCCAAAGCGGACATCAGGGTACTATACAATCAATGGCCAGAGATTATTACAGAAATCATATTATCGAAGTCATATCAGAACAAAACATATCATGTTATCAAATAGCTCTATATGAATGCATCTATACAAAGCATCAAAACAGTCATACAATCCAACCACAGTTCACTAACTATGGTGGAGCACTCAAGTAAGAAAAGACTCCTTAAAGATAGAGCTTACCTCTTGAAGTTTTATCAATCTGCTTACTTGTGACACAAGTTACTTTTATATCTTCAAGAGATTTTGATCCTTTTCAGTCCCTAGGTACACCTAGAGCAAGAATCCACAAATACAAATTGATAAAATGCCATCATGCCTAGCTTTCACATAAGGCATACATTTTATCGCTTCTTTTCGTTTCTTTATGTTTTTGCCAATGCTATGCCAATACACAAGTCTAGACCACCTTATACTCGTTAGGGTTTCCTTAATTTAATCAAGTGTTCACTTGAGAATTTTCAACATAATTCATGTCATTTTCTCTAAAAGGCCGTGAACCTACCTTTAGGAACTCAATGTATTTTTCAACCCTTATTCAAGCTATTTCACTTCTTAACTCATCAATTTTATACAATGCATTACAACACATTTTATTAAAATAAAATGTAACAAAATATATTCCTAAGCCACCCTATAGGTCGAACTCCACAAGGACAATAGGCAAAAGGGTTCTTTTCTTTTTAATTATTCTTTCTTCCCTTAATTAGCAACTAAACATACATAAATATATATGTTCATCAAGTCTCAATTAATTTTGTCATGACAAGCTCCTCTAAAGCCCCCAAGGCCGAAGCATAAGGGCAAGTATTTATAGGATTTTTCCTTTTAGGCCTTCTTCCTAATTTCATACTTACTCCAACACAATAAACCCTCTTAATACATAAACTAAAATTTGCACAATGGACCCTATTAAGGCCGAAACATAGAGAGAAAGGTATATGATTTTTCTCTAATTTTTTTATATACATACAAATGCTCATTTTCATTTCCTAAATCCAAAACAACCAAGATTCATCATCTAATCAAAGTTTCACACCCAATTCTTTCCCACTAAAACATAATCATAACTTTTATAACATAAATCATCAAGATACTACTATGGAAATAGAGGTCCGTTACCTCCAAAAGCTTATACAAGGTCAAGAAGGTAACCTCCAAGCAAGTCTCCACCAAAAATCCCCTTTTTTCACCTTGGATGAATAGTGCTCCGAAAATGAGATGACAAATATCTCTCTCCACAAACGAAATCAGCTCAAATGGAGGGTTGGAATAGCTTCCTTGGATGATTTCCTATGAGATTGGTATAATGGGTGGAAGGTTTGGTTGCTTAATCATGGAGAAATCAAAGAAAAACAAAAACAAACCCTAAGCTTCCTTTTGCCATGGCTGCCACGGGTGGGGAAGGGAAAAGGGAGAGAGAAAATGTGAGGGAATAGTGAATTTAAGTGACTTAGGGGTTTTTAAGCACATGTGGCTTTTTAACCGGTTATTTTTCTATCGCGTATTTTAACTTAAATTGACCCGGAACTAACTTAAAGTTACAGACATATTTTTTTTTTTTAAAATCATTTACATTAATTTTTATTTCTTACAAAACAATATTCATAATTCACAGTATGATTTTTGCACCGTTTTTGACGAAATGCACTGTGAATCACTAATTGTACTTCATTTACTTATGAAACTTAAAACTTATAAACTTATCATTTTCTTGGGCCTATATTGACTTGCTTCGCATATATTGGACTTTCTTATTCTTATTTCATCAATTATTTATTTCTGGACTCTACCGGTTGCTTAAACAGCAGTACAAAATACCCGGTAGAAACACTATTCACAAGATTTTCATGGAAGGTGCCAGACTATACAATTTTTCGTTCTGAACTCATATTTGTCGTCAGAATTATCAAATTATGTCTCTAAAATTATTTTGCTCATTTAAGCTCTACTAGTTAATTCACAAAACTGCAAATTCTTCGGCATAACGCACTGTTCATAACATAGTCATGATTACAGTTAAAATACTCGAAATCGCTCACTGAATCTAATTATGGCATTTAAATCCTTAAATTAAATCTCTAACTAAGATTTATCAGTTAGGGTCATTATACACCTCTTTTAAATCTATCCATCCATCTACCAGATTCTACGAACCAGATATTTTGGGTTCTTGTCCGTTAGGCAAACACTAGATGTTATGCATTTACATCAGGTAAAGCAAGCAAAGGAGACGTTGGGATAAGTAGTTGGTTACACTCAGCTGGCAAAATTTGTGTAAGAGCTATGCTTCTTGATGCTCTTGCCTGACCTGTGCTTGTATATTATGTAAATTAGAAAAAAAAAAAAAAGTTACTAAAAAGGAATTCATGATTAAATGATTTGTCATGAGGTGAAAATATGACTAATTTTGCACAAAATCACATTTATTTCTTCGTTGTCATTATTTTTATTAGTAGTTCTAATTCTGTAATTTTTTGTATAAGGTTGGAACTACCTAGCTCACGTTTTCTTTCAATTGAATTCGCTGTAGTCCACAGAGCCGGGATTCTTAATGGGTCTGGGGGGCTTCGGGCTTCTATCTTTTTTTTTTTTTTTGGTACATAGCTTCTATCTTCTTTTATGAAAGAGAGTTAAAACCATTCCCTTATTTTGCGTAGATTTCAGGATTCATTCGCATTTATGCTATCCTCTAATGCCTGCGTCCAGTACTTTTGGCCCATTTCTTTTTGTCATAGTCTGGAATTATTTTATCTACTGAAAGTAGCTGTCTTAATTTAAAGCTAAATTATCAACAGGAAGACGATATTGAAAGGTGCAAAGCTTGTCAGTTGGTTTTCCATAAGCGTTGCTTCAGAAAGGTTACAGATTGTCCTTGTGGGGCACAACTTAGATTGAATGAGACTAGGAGCTTGACCAACAGAGCAAGCCAAAGGGGAGGTGGTGAAACAAGAGGAACTTTGGACTTGTTGGGCAAGGGACTGAGTTCTGGGTTGTCACCTAGGTTCCTCTCTGGATTATTTACGAAGGAAAAGCTTGAGAAGACTAGGGAGCATAAAGACGAAAATATTATCTTAATGGGTTCGTTACCAAGCACTTCTTTATGATCAAAACCTGTACCTTAATGTTGTATGTCTATATCTTACGATGATCTGCTATACCACACATTCTATTACATCTTAGGATGTCCATTCAATAATCACAATTGTCTATGTGGTCATTTTTGGGTTTCTCATTCTTTGTAACAAAATTCATGTATAGTAATAGGTCTCTTTTCTTCATTATTATTTTTTTATCTACGTTAACCGGTTCTTGGATTAGCTTGTTTTTGTTCCGTTCATTGTGTAGAACTCTAGTGGTTAGGGCTATTGGATTCTCGGAATGTGTAACCTCTTTCTTCTCTCTACTTCATTCTTCTCTCGTGGCTCTGGATACATGGAGTAATGTGGATCACATCGTAGCACATATTCTAACCAATATATTTGTGACCGTGATGGGTTCTTTCGGGAGATAAAATATAGCAACGTTACTGTTCACTTAGAGATCATCTTTCTATGCCTTCTGTGCCGTTGAACTGCAGCCCTTAGAATCTTGTCTTAGTTCAAAATAACTTTAAACAACATTTGAGATACTGGTATGCTTCTTGTTGATATTGTCATTCGTAGTTAGTCCATCATCTTAAAGATAAATTTTAACTCCATCCCAAGCTAAAAAAGGGAAGCTTGATCCCTTTCACCGACATAGTGGTATGGATGGAGATGGTAAAAAAGGAGACATAGAAAGAAGGGAATAACTAACCTAATGAATAAAGGTGGCAACCCTCTTGCATATCAATGTGCTTTGAAACATGACAGGCTCATATGAATTTGAGGATGGGAAGAATTAATCTTGACTGTTACCACCATGAAACTTATGGAAGGTTATTATGATCTATTGTCCCTTCGTGGGTTCCTCCGCAGAATCTAGTATAGATATTGGAAATGTTTTGAGGTACTTTTCTACTACCCAGTTCAGTGTATCATGAACCTCCACGAAGTTTAGTAATTGCGCGAGATTTAAATTCTTCGAATAAAATCTTCCAAATGGGACCTGTTGAATATTGAAGCACACTGCCCATACACTAATCCTTGCACGAATGACTAATATATTCTTTGCTATCAAGTAAAAGAGTTGGTGCCTTGGTGGAATCCAACACCATAGTTTGATTAGAGATACTGGGCGCGCTAACTTGTGTTATTTCGCTATGTTCATTAGTGGCATAAACACGAGGATATTAGATGGTATCTATCATATTCTAATAAATGGAAATTTTCTCCAAAGTCAACAGAAAAATGGACTCTTTGTATTAACTGTTTCGTTTATCTTAAATCATACAATATACATAAAACAAAAGCAATATACAAAACTTTTGTGCTTTCGGCTAACACGCGTCATCCACTAGATATTAGCACTATTGGTTAAATTCAAGAACAACTTTCAACTTAGTAATGGAATCCACGATAATTATTTATACCATACACGATCTGCACGCCTCAATACGAAGAATAAGTAAAATCTTTCCCGTAGTGATTGACATGGTTCAAGACAGTTGTGCTATCTGCCAAATAGTGATTCACCTTGTTCAATACAATGCTAACAAAGCACCCAAAGGCATGGTTGACACTTTATACAAGTGGATGTTGCATTGCCAAAGCCTAATTTTTTCTCCCCTTTCTTTTTCTTATACTTTGGTACATTTGCTTTAGAGAATTACATGTGTCCTAAAACTAACGTAATTAATTAGTTGAATTAGAAAATCAAAAGGTGAAAACAACAATCAGAATAAAAATAACTTTCGAAAAAAGTTATATATGATCCAAAGTTAAATAAGTATATTTTATTTTCAATATTATAATTTTTTTAGTAAATTCTCAAATTTTTCATATAAGAAAATTTAAAATGATTCAATTTTAAATTTATGACATCTTCAATTTTACTAACTTAAATAGAGCCTTGAACTTTATACTTGACTAGATTTATATGAAAGAAAAATGAAAATTTTATAACTGTTATTATTATTTACCTTTTTTTAATTTGTTATACAATTACTTTAAAGAATATTTAATGGGATAGACTTTCCATATGCTTGTACTTTGAATCATAGGAATATCCTTTTATTTCAGTACTATGTCTAAGGTCCTTCAGGTTTATTCCCATCTATCCAGTGACTCTGAAGTTTGATAGATGAGATATTTTTTTTACTGGAAAAACATAATTAATAAAAAAATGGTAGGAAAGTGAGTTTAATGGAAAAGTTAAAAAAAAATATGTTTGGTTCACCGAAATATTACTGGAGATATTTATGTAAATTTGCAAAGTTTATGTTTGGTTGAAGGTAAAATAGTGATGCAAAAATAGGTTGAATTGACCAAAATACTCCTGTTGTAAAAAACAACTCAAGTCCCTCACTTTACACGCATGCAGAGTCATTTCGATCCTAAAGTTGACGCATCTTTTTCCACTTCCCCACCTATCCTAAAATACCACATCTGAAGTGGTATTTTAGAATAGTTAATTTCATCCAAAAAAAACAACTATGAAGTCATTGCCTAAGCTTCTTATTTGCATGGCTTTTTTTTTTTTCCAAAACTTAAACCAAACGTGATCAAATGCAATTGCCACTCGCACTTCCCCACCAAACCCAAACTTTAACGTAAAACCACCAATGTTCGTGGATTTATAAAGGGAACAAACACTTGAACTTGGCATCAACTTGATCTGGAGGCGTTAATTGGCTTCTTAATTGGATAAAGTTTAGGGAGATTAGTGATTGGTCACATTCTTAGGTCAGAGTATGCATGCCACAAGACACAACATCACTTGCAATAGAGGAACATCAAAATAACATTTCATTGATGATTAATGTTCTTCAACTAGCCAACTCTTATTTGCGGCTTGGATTGATTTCTCATGTAGAATAACATCAACATCAACAACAACAACACATTTATCCCAAATTAATTGGGGTCGGTGGTAGATGAACCCACATGAAAGATACAAAACGGTTAAAAAAAAGTTAAAAAAAAATAAAAAAAATAAAAAAAGTAAAAAAGTAAAAAAGCCAAAAATAAATAAATAAAAATAAACAAATAAAATAAAAATATAAAATAAGATAAAATAAAATAACAATATATGTATATATAAATAAATAAAAGTAAAAAAGAAAGGGACAAGAAGAAGTGGGGGAAATGAAGGAGAAATGGACTAAAAAGAGACCATCTGAAACATAGGAATAGCAGCGGGTCTAACCCTCCACCATACTTATAGCTTTCATGTAGAATAACAATAGGAGATTATTATTTGTATTTTGGAGTTGATTATATTGCTTATCACTATAATCTTCCAATTCTTATTACTTTTTTTCCATAACTAGATTGGATTCAAATCAACAGCTTTTATGCATCTCAGAATTAAACAAAAATAAAGTTACATTAGCGATACCACATCTCTACCTCTATCCGGCTTTATCAATTCCACCTATTAGAATTTATGTTTCCTCTTTCTTTTCTTTTTCTTTTTTGGACTATCTCTCTTTGGTGTGATGTGTGAATGTATGACAAGAGAGAGAGAGAGAATCCTTTCACGTAAAGAAAAAGAAGAGAAATTCTAATAGACGAGAGAAGAAATAGAGAGAAAGTAAGTGTGACAAATGTAACAACCAACCCATTCGCGGACCTGCACTGTTGTCTTTCTGGGCAAGTGCAACAGTAACTAATTTTTTTTTTTTTTATTTTCAGCTGACTTAGTTTAGATTTATTAAATTGTTACTTTCTCTTGTCTTTGTCTTAATGGTTGGTGTTATGGTCATGTACCCAAAAATCATATTTTTTATTTTTATATTTAACCTTTTGAAAATGTAAAATAAGACTATCTACCGTACAGCATTCTATGGATTCAGTGTATGGCAAGAGCTTTTAAAAAAAAAATTCAGGGGCTCTGCCCTGAACCCCATCACTAAATGTGCAAACATAAATAAAAGTTTTTAGGTCTGTCACTGAACTAATCCAAGAATCAAAGCCCAAAACCATGATAGTAATCAAGGCGAGCATGAGAGTAGGATGTTGCTATTTTACTATATAAAACAAGGGATTTGCATTTGTCATTTATCATGACACAACAAACTTTTTTACACACACAACATTTTGTGGGGCTCACACTTTTTGAAGAAAAAAGAAAAAAAGAAAATTACGGGCACGCAAAACAAATCTCTATAACAGTACACAATCACTCGTCCTACAACATAACTCTTATAAAACCCATAAAACAATCATCTCCCCGTAACTCGTGATCCTGTGATTAGATATAATAATTATCTCATCTAAAAATTCAAATAGTTAACTGAAGGTCTATCAATGATTTTATATTATATCTTTCTAAATTATAGAATTAATTTTTTAGCACACCTAACCGCAATTCTGTTATGAATGTTTCAATTGCCTTTATTTTTATTTTTTTTTCATTACAAAGTGTGAGTAACGGAATGAAAAAAGGATAAGAAAATTGCAGTACAAACTGCCCGATGAAAGGCACGAATGTAGTTAGTTGTATTGAAGTCATGCAGGGTAGGGACGGTATATTTCGGTCGGTGACATCTCTTTATTAATATTTGAAATATTGTACCTTAATTTTCTTCCTGAATTTTCCTCTAACTTGTCAGACTAAGCAATATAATTATTAGGACAGGTTAAAAAAATTATAATTTATTCTTGATTTTTTAAAATAAAAACACATTTTTGCATAATATATGATTCTCAAGTTGTCACATATTAAGCTATTAAATTAATCTAGTGATGAGGAATTTGAGTAGTTTATATTAAGTTATGTATTCAATTCCCGGATAAAAAAAAAGTTGTCACATATTATTATCAATAATTTTATTCAAAGTGAGTTTAAGCACTCCAGATTCCAAGCATCAACAGAAAGTTAATAAAAGTAAAAAGATGATTGGCTTGTTAGCAGAAAGCAAGAATCAAATTCTCGTTGCTTTTACAAATGCTAATCTTCCGGGAAAACCAAAAGGATATATTTTGCTATATATATTTGTTCAGTACGTGCATCCATATTGCTAAATAGTATTCTCTAATTCATTTTCTTTCTTCTATTCAAGGTAAAGGTAATATTCTACAGAAAATTGAGGCTAGTTTAGTTTAGTCCCTAAGCCAAAATCATCTAACACATTGGTATGAGTCGGGGTACCGCGTTGACAAGACAAAATGTTTTAGCTTCATTAACAAAGCGAAAATACCATAGCACGGAATTTGCAGCAAGGCCACCGCCAGGTACCTAGAAATCAATTACAAGCCATACAAAACGGATCAGCAAATCAACTCAATTAGATAAAGAGTTTTATAAGACTCGTGTCGTAGGAAAAGTGATTGTGTAATATTATAGAAATTCGTTTTGTGTGCCGTAATTTTCTTTTTTTCTTTTCTTTTTTCAAAAAGTGTGGGTCCCACAAAATGTTATGTGTGTAGAAAAGTTTGTTGTGTCATGTTAAATGACAAATGCAAATCCCTTAGATAAATGTTAGAAAAATATGATATAAAAAAGATTATTCACGTGTCTTCACATAATAGTTAAATTTTTGGCCGAAGTGGTCATGATTTTGATATTTACTTTGAATAACCAATTCAATCTAAAATTTTAAGTTGTTGAACGAAGGTCTTTTTAATGATTTATATTATTCTCTTACACACTCTCACGCAATAGCCTTTTAGACTTGAAGTGTGGATATTACACATATTCAATTTTTGATTTACCTTGTGGTTATTTTAATTCCACTAGAAAGTGAGGACGGTAAAGATCTAACTCGTGATCTTGTGGTTACTGAAGCTCTGATACCATATAAAAATTTAATTCAACTCAAAATCTAAAGACAAAATCTTAAGACGTAGGTAAAGGAGTTTTTTAATAATTTATATTATTATGTATCAAAAGGCATGTTAAAGGAATATAAGGCAAAAAAATTTATACTGGGCATGAGAGAATAAGAGCTATTTCCAATGGACCAATTTTGCAGAATATAATGGGAAAGAAATAAAATTTATACCATAATGGAGCATAAGGGGATGACAAGTCAAGAAATGGATATGGCCACCTAGACAAAAAAAAAAAAAAAAAAAAAAACTTATATTAGACAATAATGTGTAAGGTGTTCTCACAATAATTGATCCAAACTGAAAACCAGGACTTATACCAGAGATTAATGCAAGCATGAAGAATCCACTGGAAAATCACATATGTAGCTGTCCACAGACAAAAGTATCCTATTCGAAACCAAGGGAACCGCTGAAGTGGGAAAAGTAAGGTTAAGGAATTTTCAGATACATAAGCATTGGAAATTGACAATTAAATTGAATCAAATGAAGGAACTCACCAGGCAATTTAAAGCAGCATCGCCTATAAGGAAAACAGCATTGATTGTGTGCATATTTACTACCAACTGCCACAATAGAATATAACATATGGTTTAATTTGAAGTCTCCTTTTCTTTGGTAAGAGCAGTAATAGACAGCTATGTACTCTAACGTGATAAAATGATACTTACAAAGTTTAGGTTGTAATCTTTGATGGTTAGAAATGGAACAATTATGAACCAAAATACACAATCAGTGAGCATCACAGCACCTGCATTAATCTATTCACAAGTGAAGAAACAAAAATCAATCATGTTGGGTTGAAATTCTTCATAATAAGTAAAAATTAAAATAAGAGTGCATGGTACTATGAATTGAACTCATCACAGTTATAACTCTTTATGTTTGAAGATTGCAGAGAAAGAAATCATCCTTGTAGTTCAACCAATGATCTATGAAAAGTGTACCTGGAATATTATTTGAAAAATATAACCCCAAGTGCTTGCATGTTGGCGAACAAGATCTTCTTCTGGGGCTCCCAAACTTTTCTCTTGGTCGCATGCATTAGAACTTTGTGGAAGTGCTGGAGCATCATCATACGTTCCTTGCTCTGTATCTCCATCCACATTATCAACCTTATCCCCAGTTGCTTTCTTATGATGTTGGTAACATCCATACATGGAGAGCAAAGATCCAAGCTGCAACATCAAGCACACAAGGACAAGTGTATTTAAGAGATTACATGCTAGATGGTAGACATGAGCAACATAACTACAGAAAAATATGAAATTATGTACTTCAATACTTACCCCAAAATAAACGGTTATTGAAGTAAAAGTCCACCTGTTTCAAAAACCATGCAAAAAAAATAATAATCAAATGCCAAAAAAGGAGCTAGCAATATGCTTAATTAATACTGTAAGAGTTGAAATAGGCTTCTGGCTATAAATGGTAGTTGCTTAAATTGGCATTCTAAATCAGGAAAGGAAATTACTTTTTTAGATGGAGTGTTTAAGTACACTCCTAACTAACTAAACTCACAAGTGATTGATCACAAATATTATAAAGGCTTAACTCCAAGAGCAGAGACAGAATAATTGCAATGACACCCATGTAGCAAAACTTACTGAGATTAACACTGTTTAAAACATAATATGCTTCCAAATTTGTGATTATGTAACCCATCTTTGTTTTTATGTGCAAGAGTCTTAAATATTCAGAGGCCAAATTCATAACGACCTCTCTAATAGCATCCAAAATTTGAGATAACATTCAATAAGGAATGAGAACTTACTGAGTGTAATAGTAGAAAATGCTTCCTCCATCAACAACAGCATTGATAATGAGAAGAACCAAAAGCACAATAAATGCAACAACTCTAAAAGCCAAAAGCCAGGCAGGGTGAATTCCTTTTAAACAAGGCCTCCAAGTTTCATCCTCATACAAAGTTGCTGAAGTTTCTTGTTGGGTTTCCCTGCTGCTACCATTTCTTGTTTGGTTTCTTAAACGTTCATACTTCCATATAAGCAATGATGAGAAGATTATTGAAACCAGAACCCAAATGCCACAAAGCAAAACTCTCCAGTTCAGCCAGTAACTCTGGTTGTTTGTCTTAGCTGTCATCATGGGTTGCCAAGAGCCTTTGAGAGAGCCTGTTAGAAAACTCATGGAGTTACTTTACTTACTTCTTATACTTTTTCAGATTCCTCACAGTGAAAATGGTAAGGTGGGGATGGTCTTGTTTCCACTTTTTCAAATTATTACAAGGTGGAAAAGAGAATTTGGAAAAGAAAAAAAAAAACCACTGTTAAAGAATGAATGAACAAATTGAAGTAAATATCAAAACAAATTGAATGCTTCCTATTATTGATCTCTCGGAAACCAAGAACCCAGAAAGGAAAGATAGAAACAGTGAAATGGGTCTAATCAAATCGATGTTTTATGCTCCTCATGCTACGATTTCCGAAAAGAAGAAAGAGCTCATAAAGGACTCTGAACTGAACCACCAGAATTGGAGAGAGCCACTGTATGCAATTAAAACTAACACAAGAGGACCTCAATAGTTTTTCACGCATATTAAAATAAGATTAGGTAAGAAAATTTTGGGCCACCAAGAACCAAAAAGTTCGAAGCCTTGACCCATTTTGACCCCTTTAATTGTTTTGATTTTTGTAGAGATTCCAAACTTAGATGGAGTTTTGCATAGGAAGCTAGATACACTGACAATTCTAATGGTACATTATAAAAGAAAAAAAAAGGGGTAGATAAACTCTTGGGCAAGAAAAAGGTTGAAACTTGCAAGGGAAAGCAAGACAATGTGGATTATAAGAGAAGATGCTTTGCTTCTTTGCTTTTGCATGTAGAAAACTATTGGAGGTCACATATAGAGAAGGGAAAGAAAGGGATGGTGTGCTTGGAGCGTAAGTTTCTTCTCTTGCTTTTTCTTATTATCATGCCAAATTTTAATTATATTTTGATCTCCACGTACCCATGTTTAAATTAATCCCAAAAGACATGCATGTTTCTTTTGTTGAATTTTCTAGGACTACCATTCGTATTATTTTTTGTGACAGAGAGACACACAGAGGAAAGGGACAGGACATAATTTTGTTTTTGGATTTTGTATTGGAATGCTTCTTAGTGGAGTATATGCTTCATGTACGTAAACCAAGAACGGTTGTTTTTTTGAGTCCTTACTTGAATAATGATTTGGAACATGATGGTTTGATTTTAATGATTCATGGTATTTAGTATGTGTTATTGGGACACACATTGTTAAGAGACATACAATTGTTGCAATCTGCAAAGGATGATTTGGGGAATGAATTGAGGTTGTTAAGAATGTAAAAGAGAAGTCATGACTCATAATCGAGTGGCTTTCAGTGGAAGCATTAGATTGTTGATGCTTTTGGGTCATGGAATGGGGCCCACGGTTGTGACCACATTGATTTATTGGACTTGGAATGATGGTGACAGCCATTATCTATGTAATGATAGATTTATGACTGAGTTCCCCCGAAATGGCCACATCCGCAACTGGCGCTGCCGGCTTCTCTATTTTTTAAAAATATAATATTAATTTAAAAGTGTTATTAGTCTTCTTTCATATAAGATAATTATCATATATTATAATATGTTATAGAGAAAAAATGAACAAGTCTCAATATTACAAGAAAAAAAAAATGAGATGTGAAAATCGTAATGAAATAATATGAAAGAAGTTATGTTACGGAGAATAATATTTTCGTTAATTTAACGTAATAAATCTCGTAACCCGTACGAGATTACCGTGTGTGAACATGTGCATGGGCACTAATTTCGCATGGATAGGATGCGAAACTTATAACATTTAATTGACGTTAATTTGAAAATGAATTTTTTTTAAAAGAAAAAAATTATATTAGAAAGGTCCTTGTCCCATTTTAGTAATTCAAAATCACTAATGAGAAATTCGTAATTTATTCGGATTCTTTTTCATGAAAACACAATAATCTGATTTGTTAAAGAAAATAGTTCTTGCAGAAACTCAACGTTATATGTTTAAGTCCATAAATCCTAAACAATTTGTATTTACATTTTTCAAAAGTAGATATAAATTTTTTAATTCTGTTATATATGATTTTTTATTTTTATTTTTATTTTTTTACAGAATTCCAACCAGAGTTAAGAATAAGTATATATAGCAGAATTAAGAATGTTATAGTAAATAAATAGAAGGAAAAATGTTTGTCATTTTAAATGACATAAAGTTAGGTCATTTTAAGAGAGATACAGAAATAGAAAATTTGAATTTTAAATTAAAAAAATCACTCACTTTCTCTCTTCCATGATTTCCGTTTTTCTAGGTCTATCTCTCTTCTAAAATGACATAACTTATGTCATTTAAAATGACAAACACCAAACCCATAAATAGATATTAAAAAAAAGGTTTGTCTACCAAAAAAAAGTTTTAAAGTTTCTAAAATATTTTAGATAACTTTATTTAATGTTCATCAAAATATACACATAAAAGTGTGTGGGGTCAATATTTTCTTTTTCTCTCTATTTTTCGCATGAGTCCACATGAACCTCACACATATTTTTTTGTGTATTTTGGTGAATGTTAGATAAAATTATCTAGAGTATTTTTAGAAACTTTAAACCCATAAAAAAGAAAAATGTATTTGAGTGAAAATTTGAGTAAAACGTGTTATCGAGAGGATGATATACGTACTCCAACAAGTTAAAAAGAGATCATTATATAAAATCATGCACTTAAATGGTCTGTTCTTGTTAAGAAAAGACAGTTAAAACCTCAAATAAAAAATAAAATAAAATAAGCCAAAAGCAAAAGTTGTGAAAAAATTCGAAGAAATCATTAAACAATATTTTCAAATAAATTTTATTTTTTAATTTTGATTTTTCTAAAGCATAAGTTAACAACATTGTATAATTCATGTAACAAATTTCTTAATTATGAGGTGAAATCTCAATAGGTCCCACTAATAAAGAATGGGTTCGTATTATTTAATGGGATTCGTATGAAATTGTATTCAATAGTAAACAAATATTTAATAAAGAGTATTAAAAAATGTATTATTAGCACTCCTATCATAGAATAAACTATAACACTTCTTTCTACTACAAAAATAACTCGGGAGACTCATGTGAAATGCATTTTATGAACTTATTGTTCATGTGAAATTTAAAAAAAAAAATACAAAGACAATTTGAACTAAAATTTTGGTCCCAAATTTTTTTTCCGCCACTATACATGTGCAATTATATACTACATAGGAGTAACAAGTTTACTAACATGTCAATTATGAATTCATTTTATAAGTTTCTTCATATTTGTCTTATTGAGGTATTTATGAATATATTTTATCGTGTCTATGTGCAAAAGTTCCATCCACGTTTAATTTTACGAAAGAAAAAAAAAATAGAGGGAAATACTAAAACATAGTAACAATAGGAATGCTTAAGAAAAGAGAGATCTTGATATAGGAATACAAGTAATTATAATGAGAGTTAAAATTGGAAGTTTTTATTATCCTTAGGATAGATAAATTAGTCCATAAAGATGATTACATCATCGAAAAGATGATAATAAATAAAAAAGTTAGCCATCAGTACTAACTTTTGGCTTTATAAAGAGATGTAACGCATCATGTATCAAAAGAGAGAGAGATGTAACGCTTCAATTGTTCATGACTTCACACTGAAGAAAAAAACATGTTATCCTAATACGTTAACATGCCAAAGCATGAAGCAGTTGCCTCTCAGTCTATTGTTTTAAAACTATACATACATTCTATAGAAGTAAGACAGCATATTTCTCTTAACATGCATATATAATACGCATACGGTTACGAATATGCCAAAAGTACATTGGTTTTGTATGTCCTTCTATTTGCTTGCAAATCACATATTTGAAAAACACAATTTCATCAAATCTTAGTTGGCGCATGGGAGCTGAGCAGGTGGGGAGTGAGAGTATGTATTCGATCACCTCCAGTATTATCTTTGGAAGCAAAAAATTTACGGTACTCCCGTCGCACCATTCATTCGGTGCGACGGACCAATAAAAATGGGACATTTTTTGTGATGTGTATACGAAAAAGTGAAAAAATAAATAAATTAATTCAAGTGTCAATTTTTTAATGGAAGTCATAGGTACATCGGGTGTACCAAAAATGCTCTCCATTAGGAAATGGTTTAAAGCTTTAATTTTATATCGTTCCGAATTTCGGATTAGTCCATAGGAAACCTATAGAATGACCCGAAGATAATCTCCAAAAAAAAATATAGACCATTTCTACAAAGGACCAACTTCTATTCAATTTTGATTAATTAGTGAGCTACACAATTAACCACCCACGTTTAGAAGACAATGAATTTGCTCTAGGGTCGTTCTACATATTTTGACATCAAAAAGACAATGAAGAAATATCAACTCTGGTGGAAAAAAAAAGAACACGATTAAAAAGAGAAAAAGATTTGTGTTAAAGAATATAATAAAAGCATTAAAAGGGCCATAAGTTAAATTAGTTCTTTACATGGTATAGAGCATTAGTGACCATGAGGTCACGAGTTCGATCCTCACATCCCCCACTTTCAGCTGGAATTAAGAAAAACGGCAAACCAAAAAAAAATGGACTTGTATATAACAAGGCAGACCAAAAATAGACTTCTGCGATATCCACGCTTCAAGTCCAAAAGGCTCTTGCGTGAGGGGATGTTAGAGAATATATAATAAAGCATTAAAAAGACTCTATCACCTAACACGTTTTTGGTTGAATTGGTTATTTGAAGAGTTAATTTCATATATTTCTCTACACAACCGCACAAGCATTGCAAGTGATAACATATAGCAAAAACTATCATAATCTAATATCATCTACACATATAGAGAGATAGTACCTTTCATTTTCGGTGACAATGGAAAGAGACTACTTAGCCTATATAATCGAATGCACCTAGGGGAGGAACCCAATTTGGCTCTCCAATGCTTTAGTTCACTCTAGCAGAGAAGGAAAGAGATATTTTATAGGTAAGGGATGTGTTTATATGTATAAACGTAATGACTGGTACTTCCAAATGGACGTGATTCGTGTGACTGCAAAAGATAGAAAATTGTGAACGTAAAATCCTCTGTCTTGTTTTTTGTTGATGCCCCTCTGTACCAATTTTTTTTTATATATAAAAAAAAGATAATTATCCCTTTTAATAAGTTTTTATTTAAACTGCTTTCAATCTTTTTTTATTTAAAAAGGCTTAGATGGAATTAATTGTGAATTTCATCGTGGTTTTTTTTTTTAAAAGAGAATTTTGGTTACTTTTATTGTTTAATTTTTTAATATAAAGGACCAAAAAAGTTAAAGATGGTTTTTCAAATGCTAAACATAATTTTTTTATATGTTCAGGGACTAAGCTTATGATCAACATCTACATCAAAGTCACCTGATATTTACAGATAACAAACATTAGCAATCTATTAATTTGTTTGCAAAATCAACAGTTTTGAAGGTATGGAGCATCCCATGCTCCAACTTAGACGTTTCCCTCCTAACAAGTTCTCATTGCTATACAGAAATGAGGGTGAATCATTTTTGTATGTTTATTATGCATACACAACGTTATTATTCACACAAAAAAATAGAATTGTAAAAAAGCTTTAATATGTGATGCTAGTGCATCAAATTATGGATTGCCATATAGTTTATTAAAAAAAAAAAAAAGAATGTTCTGGGGCAAGAAAAAAACTTTCGAAAATCCTTGCAGCTTACGCACGAGTGAGACAAGCAGACAATGTGCTTATCAATCTTCATGACTATCGCATGGTTAGCACAAAAGGGGAACATAATTCACTCAGCATGATTTCTCAAATATGATAAATAGCTTCTTTCGCGGCTGAATGTCATAGCTATACTTTCCTCACAATTCAGACGATCCTTGATCCCTGCCCAAACTCAAGAACTCATATAAGCCCATTTTCTGGTTGCTCGAAGTTAATTACACCATCAATTATTCTCTCTCTCTCTCTCTCTCTCTCTTTTCCTTTTTCTCTTAGTAAGTTGGGGTTGGAAACATAATACAAGTTCAACTGTCTATAATATACACCTCAAAATTGATTTCTTTCTTATGTTTCTGTACACACCATTCAACAAAATACATCTGCAAGGTTCTACCCCCCAAATCAAAATTAATAAAGTAAAAAAGAAATTTGTAAGGACTAACATTTGCCAATCACTTATTCTCAAAAAACATATTTTTACAATTAATGAAAATGGCCTGCTTTAATTTCTCAAGATGGCTGTGAGAACGATTGATAACATCCCATTACAAACTCCGGGTGCTTATGCAGCACAATCTCAGAAGGTGATGCTGCAATTCTATCTCAAATAGCTTGACCATCATCATCTCCAAGTAGTGAGAGAGAAAAGGGGGCAATAGCCACATTAAATACTCTTGAGCCTACTCGATCAACATGTATCATCTCAAAGTCACCTTCCTGGATTACAATATAGAAGATGAGATTTAATCACCTGGTTTTATGTTCCTTTGGAAGGTGAGAAATCTAGAAATACTTGAAAGTTGAAATCAACCATGAATCAAACAGGCAGATGTAAATGTATCCAAACCATTGAAAAGCATCTAAATGACACCACTTATAATTTTCCTCCCTTTTCTGCAATTTCTACACTGATGAAGAAACTGAGACTGTTGCGTAGTTAAAATCATAGTATAAATTCATTCTGTAGTAATATAGAAGTAGTCATGAAAAAAATTTAAAAAGGATGCAACCAATCACTAAATTATAGGGCATGTAGAACATGCCTTCAAAATTCAAATTCAGTTAGGCTTTTACTCTTGCTTTCCTCTTCCAGAGCATGATCTGTTGATTATGAAAATGAAGATAGTTGTTTTGGTTTTAAATCACAGCACCATAGAACCAACTGAGACTTAATGTCAAATATATTTATCCCCAAAGGAGATGTACAACAGGTTTTTCTAGATAAGAGTTCTTAAAGAATCGAGCTAAAAGTGTAGAAAATTAGAATTCAAACATGTTTCCGTTTTTATTTCCTATTAATTAGGATTGATTATGATTGATTAGGATTGATTATGATTGATTAGGATTAATTGTGATTGATTAGAATTGATTGTGATTAGGATTGTGATAGGATTGATTAGTCATCGCTTAGTCATTCTTAGCGATTCTTTCTTGTATAAATACTCACTCATGTAATTTATTCAATATCAATATACAAAAACTTCTTTTCAATAAAAAGAATATGAATTTTTTGATTGAAGCAAATTAATCAATATTCTCAACATAAAAAAAAAATGAAAGGAGGTAATCTGATGCTTTAATCTATCTCGCTGGTTATATTACTGTTTGATTGCATAATGCCCATACTATCTGAAACAATGCATCTATTTGATAAACAGGTAATATTACTAAACACCATAAACAATACTATGAGGGTACTAGCTTCAGCTAAAGAACTCAATGCAACTCTTATTACCCGATACTCAGACTGACCAAAGCAACAATATCCAACTTCTAATGTTTTAAGAACCAGACCCATCATTGAACCAGTGAGAGTACTAGTTCATGGTTCACTAGTCCGATCTTGGTTGAAGGGTGATCGAACTGGCAATAATTAAATATATATTTTTAATATTAAATAATGTATTAATTAAGTAATAAGTTAACATAAAATCATAAGAAATCAAGATAGGTAAGATTTTAAGTTAGCATACAAGGATCATATTATATGTATTGCAAGATATAAAATCAATAATAAAAGGCTAAATAGTAGCAGTCTATGCATGAACTCACACATGGACCTACTGATGATCTGACCAGTTTTCCAGTCCAACTACCAGTCCAGTCCGCTTTTTTAATCATTGCTAATTTCATAAAAGAACAACAATAACAAAATCCTTTTCCCACTAAGAGGGGTAATTTCATAAAATAACAAGGGGGGAAAAACTCATACCATTCTACCATTCTGTGTGCTTAATGGGCAAGCGGAAGAGTATTCAAAACTAGTCCTAGGAAGTATAGCTGGCTGTTCACCAACAACCCCGATCCCCCTGTCATGAGGAAAGTAAAAAGTACATTGGAGTTGGAACTTGAATCCACATGGGTTTAAAAGGAAATAGAAAACACCTTGGAAGCAAAGAACATAGATAGTGAAGAGAAAAATAATTAACTCACCAGACATTTTCACTTTCCCCATTAGCATCAGTTATAATCCAATGCCTTCTAAGAAGTTGAACAGGGCGGTTTGAATTATTGGTAATTCTGATTCTATAAGCAAAGAAGTATAGCTCCTTTGAAGGCTGACTTCTGCCCTCTATATATACACTCCTAACTTGGACCCGTATTCCCTGAATAATTTAAAAATAGATGTTAAGAGTTCATATTTTTATTTTACAAGTAAGTGATGTCTCATATGAATTTATAGGAAAATAAATCTCTGTTCACTTTTCAGAACTTATTATAAACCAAAATTATAAGACTGTACAGATTTCTACCACGAAAAAGAAAACCTGAAACATTTAAAAAAGAAGAAGTCTAAAACTTAGGGAGTAAATTATCCCAAACAAATGTCTCAACCCACATGAACACCATGAGAGATTGAGAGTCCCATTGATTTTCCAAGAGAGCTACTCATCATCTCCATTTCAGAGGAAATTGCATTGAACTAATTATTCTACGGATACAATTAACTTAAAAAACAACCCCTAAGACAGATTAACCAAGAAATAACTGAATCATAGATCACAAATTAATTGAAGCTAACAAAAACAAGTAGTATTCCTACCAAGGTTGTGGCATCACTCGAACATTTTAAGAGAGAATGCGGGGCAATTTCTTTTAGCTCATCACGATATCTAGCTGCATCCTGGGTTAAAAAACAAAAAGGTAAAACAAGTTGTCAAGACGTAGATTTAAGAGACAATCATATGGCAACAGAAACATGGACAATAATAGGCCACATTTTGACAATTCGAGATGAAAGATGCTATATGTGCTGTTCTGAACAATGAGATAACGTGCTAAGTGCAGCATTTAATGGCCGAGAGGAACAATGTATGTTCGAACATTGGGTCACCGAAAAACGACACGACCATAGTCCAACAAATGTAGAAAGCAATGTAAACATGTCATTTTCATCTGTCCTAAAATCAAGATGAGTAACAAAATAGGTACCTCAAATCTCTCATCAGCAATTGCTTCCTTTAACAATCTCCGTAGACGCAGAACCGGCACTTCGTTTTCAAAACATTTCAGCGAGTCACGAATCCTCGCAGCCTCTTCGTAATCCTAACGCAAAATTTTCAAATTCCACAAAATTAAAAGGCTCTTTCCAAAACAGAGTCATCAAAAAGCGACATTTTTTTTTAATAATAAATATTATTTTATTTTTTTAAAAAGAAAGAAAAAAACACTAACCTCGGATTTAGCAGCCACCTCCATTTGTTGCTTCAAGATCGCGTAGTTGTGGCTCCGAGAGAAAAACGAGCTCGAGCTTGAACCTGAACTCGTACTCATACTCCCATTCGTATTCCTCTCCGCACCGCACGCTACGATCACACTCCCATTCCTTCTCCTCCGGTTCCTGCAATTCACCCATTGCCTCTTCATCCCCACCTCCGAATCCGTGAAAACCGCTAACCGCAGATCCAAGCAAGCCTTAATGTTTAACGACTGCATTTTCGTTCAAATTTTCTCTCGATAAAGCAATCCACAGCTTCAATTTGCAAATCAGAATGGATTCGAATGTGTAGCTTTGATATTTTTTATTTTTCCCCCTTTTTCTTTTTCTTTTTCTCTCTTTTTCCGTATACAAGAGTGGCTTTTTAGTTCGGTGTGCTAGCACGTTTTCCGCGGTTTTCCTTTTCTTCTATTGGATTTGGAGCTTCGACCGTTTTTAACGGGTTAAACATAACTCTTTCTAAATGCCAGAAATATATATCTGAAAAAATGTGAGATGCCAAATTAGACATTGTATGTAGGGAAGGATATTGTCATAACCAAGTTGTGTTACTATCAAGTGATTACCAATCAATCTCACAGTTAGATCGATTATATTGATCCAACGGTTATATTTATTTCCATCTTTGTATGGTCATGATTTTCCATATTTAATAATTTATATTTATTTTCACCTTTGTATGATTATGATTTCCCATATTTAATGCTTTCACTTTAAATATGGAGAATCATGACCATACAAAGATGGAAATAAATATAACTGTTGGATCCATATAATCGATCTAACGGTGAGATTGATTGGTAGTCACTTAATAGTAACACAACTTGGTTGTCACAATATCCTTCCCCTTGTATATTTCAAAGGATTTTCGAATTTAAATGATGAAAGCGACTCCTTGAAATGAGGGTGTTATGGGGAATGAGACAAAAATTGCAAAATATTTCACCATGCCAATAATGTTTGATTGTGTTGTGTCTGAATTGAAACCACGGCGTTACCTATTACAAAAGGAAACAGAAAGCTTTTACTGTAAAAGAAAATTCTCATCGTAAAAATGAATTGAATCAAGTGAGTTCAAAATACAATGTAACTGACGTATATATCAGTATCGGGACTAAACTGAATAAACTGTAATAATAGACTAGCTAAGTATGGAACTAACTAACTGTCATAGTTAACTAACTAAATAAAATTAACTGCTATAGTTAATTAACCGATGTGGACTCTATACACTAATACCCCCCCCCCCCCCAAGTTGGGAGTAGGATGTCAATGAGTCCCAACTTGGGAACATTCTCCCTGAAAGGTGTTGGGTGTAAAGACTTGGTTAGAACATCAGCAAGCTGATGTGCAGTGGCGATGGGCAGTAGTTTGAGAAGACCACTTGTAATTTTCTCCGTTGTTATGTGACAGTCAATGTCAATGTGTTTAATCCTTTCATGAAAGGTGGGATTCTGAGCAAGGTGTATTGCTGATTGATTGTCATAGAAAACTGGGATTGGGTGAAGCAAGGGAACATGAAGGTCACTAAACAGATAAGCCAGCCATTGAAGTTCACATGTGATGGCAGCAAGGGCACGGTATTCAGCTTCAGAAGAAGAGCGTGAAACCGTGCTCTGCTTCTTCAATCGCCAGGAAATGAGAGATGAACCAAGAAAGATGCAGAATCCGGTGATGGATTTTTGAGTGTCTGGACAAGAAGCCCAATCAATGTCAGCAAAACTAGAAGGAGAAAGAGAATTATCTGCAGGAAAGAATAGACCTTTGCTGGGAGAAGTCTTGAGATAGCGTAAAACATGACAAGCAGCTATGTAATGGGCTTGGGTAGGTGAAGCCATAAATTGAGTGAGTGATGTCAGGTCTAGTGGTAGTGAGATATAACAATCTGCCAACTAGCCTGCGATATCCTTCTGGGTCAGAATAAAGATCACCTTGGTCACGACTGAGCTTGTGCGAAGGAGTGAGGGGAGTCGAAGCTGGTTTAGCAGCAAGATTACCTGAATCAGCAAGTAATTCCAAAGTGTACTTGCGCTGATTCAATATTAGACCACGTTTATCGACTTACTTCCAAGCCAAGAAAAAATCTCAATTGGCCCAAGTCTTTGATACGGAACTGATTATGCAAGGAGGATTTGACATGAATAATCTCGTCCATGCTATCACCAGTCAGCACAAGGTCATCAACATACACCAGTAAGGCTGTAAAGGAAGTGGCAGTTTTCTTTGTGAACAGAGAGTAGTCAGCCATGGATTGAATATATCCGAGGCCTTGGAGAGCACTAGTGAGTTTGGCATTCCATTGCCTACTTGCTTGTTTTAATCCATAAAGAGATTTCTTGAGTTGACAAACCATGGTGGGTGAGCTACAAGAGAGACCAGGAGGAAGCTTCATGAAGACCTCTCCATGTAGTTCACCATGAAGAAAGGCATTATCAACATCAAGTTGTTCCAAATGCCAATTCCTAGCAACTGCCAAAGCAAGGAGCAACCAAACAGTGGTCATCTTGGCCACTGGTGAAAAGGTTTGAAAGTAGTCAACACCTTCACATTGAGTGTAACCCTTTGCAACCAATCATGCTTTATAACGATCAACATAACCATCTGGTTTTCTTTTAATTTTGTACACCCATTTGCAACCAATGGGTTGTTTATGCATAGACAATTCAACCAACTCCCATGTGTGATTTCTGTCTAAAGCTTGTAATTCAGCCTCCATGGCCTTTTGCCAGCAAGGAACAGTAGCAGCTTGCTTATAGTTCTTTGGCTCAGTATCAATCAAAAGATTATTGCAGAAAACAGTATAAGGCTTAGAACTGTTATTGTAGGATAGGAAATCAGATAAAGGATAAGAAGGGGAAGATGACATACCTGAAGATGCTTTGGTGTCAGCTAAACATGATAGACTGCAATGAAACTCTTCTAGATACTGAGGTGCTGCTCTGATTCTGGTTGATCTACGAAGGTTTGGTGTAGATGGGACAGTTGTATTTGAAGGAATTAAGGTAGTAGTAGGGGGAATAGTTGGTTCATTATATGTGGGCAGCATAGAGTCAATGCTGAGATTAGTGTTTGATAAGGGCATTACCGAAACTGAAGGATTGAAATCAATGTTGGTTTGAAAGAATGGAAAATTATTTTCATAGAAAATAATATTTCTGGAAGTAAGGATTTCGTTTGTGTTTAAGTCAAGAACAATGTATCCTTTTGTACCTTCTTTGTAACCAAGGAAAACACATTTCTTAGCTCGTTGTCAAATTTTGTTCGATGCTGTGAGAGGGTGGAAATGAAACACAGTGTACCAAAGACTTTTAAATGATCAAAAGAGGGAGGTGTGTTGTATAAGAGTTCATAAGGCATTTTATGGTGTAAGGATGAAGTGGTCAATCTGTTTATAATGTGCACAACATGAATGATGCAATAGGTCCAATATGACTTAGGAATTTTAGATTGAAAGAAGAGAGCTCTAGCAACATTCAATATATGTTGATGTTTTCGTTCAACTATCCCATTTTGTTGGGGACATTCTACACAAGAAGTTTGGTGTTGTATCCTTTTAGTTTTAAAAAATTCTGTCATGGCAAACTCAGTGTCATTATCTGTTCTAAAAATTTTAATGGTGATGTGGAATTGTGTTTGGACAAGAGACACAAAGTTTTGTATGTGTTGTCTTGTATCTGATTTGGCTTTCATTGGTATTACCCATGTGAAACGTGAGTAGTCATCTACCAATGTTAGAAAATAACGATGTCCATGAATAGATTGGGTTGCATATGGACCCCATATATCAGCATGCATCATATTGAAAGGATGTAAAGATTCTGAATTGCTAGAAGGAAAAGGCAATTTCTTTTGTTTAGAATAGTGACATATGTCACAAGGTTCAGAATCAGTTTTACAAGATATGAAAGGAAAAACAGTAGACATTTTATATAAAACAGATTGGGAACAATGGCCAAGTCGAAGATGCCATAACTTGGATGAGACAGAATCAGTAGCAGAACAACAATATCTATTCGAGTTTTTATTGAAGTTGAGAATGTAGAGTCCTCTATCCAATTTAGCTGAACCAATCATCCTCAAGGTACTGTTCTGCAAGATAGAACAACTTTGTGAATGGAAAATCACATGACAGCTTGAATCGTGGATTAACTTGGCAACAGATATAAGATTTACATGAAAGTTAGGAACAAAAAGGACATTGTGCAATGTGAGGAAGGGAGAAATGTAAGCACTGCCAGTTTGAGTGGCTAATACCTGAGTACCATTAGGTAGTGTGACAAAAACAGGTTTAATATTTCGAAGGGAAGATAATAGAAAATTTTGGTGACCTATATGATCGGTTGCACCAGTGTCAAGGATCCATTGTGGATGAGGATTACCTAGAGCTAAAGAAGCTGTATTAACCTGAACCAAATTGGACTTATGTATGTCTTCTTGCTTTGGATTCTGTAGCAAGCCAAGGAGACTTTGATATTGTTCTTTTGTAAATTGAAACTGGTTAGCATCAAATTCTGCAGTTTCATTCTCTGGTTCAAAACTGAAAAGATCATTATCATCATGAGAAGCCATATTTGCTTTTCTTGGAAATCTGGTTTTGAAGCCAGGTGGGTAACCGTGTTTCTCAAAACAGGTTTCTATTGTGTGATTAGATCTTCCACAATGAGTACATAGTCTTGTAGTACTTGTTCTTCCTCCTCTTCCAAAATTCATTCTCCCTCTACCTCTCTGGGAGACATGTCCACGATTAAAGATTTGTTCTTGATTGTTCATTGGAGCATTGTTGCCTCGATTAAAATTCTGCTCACGAGCATTCAGAAATGCCTTCACATCAAGATTAACACCAGCAGCACCAGCAGTGAACTGCCGTTCTTGTTGAGCCACTAAAGAAAAAGCTCGATTCATGCACGGTAAGGGATCCATAAGCATTATTTGTGATCTCACATGTGAGAATTGCTCATTGAGACCCCTTAAAAACCGAATTACATGATCTTTCTCTCTAAAAAGAAATAGATTTTGCATTTGATTACCACAAAGGCTAACGTAAATTTACAACTTACAATACTTGAGTATGATGAACCATACAATCAATATTGTAAATCGTTGCTACAATATTTAAAAAAATATCTATTGGATAGATAATTTTTATTTTTAAAATCTTGGGATAAAATATTTTTATTTAGAAAATAATTTCACATTGTGCAGGATATAAGATAATATTGGTATACGTATATCCATATAATATGTATAATACTTAAGGATGAAAGATATACATCAATAGTATAAATCATTGC